GGGGGGGGGGGAGGAATGTCCTTTGTGTGTGTGTCCGTCCTTGGGGCTACATAAAGGAAAAAACTCCACTCCTGACTGGCACTGATGATGTTATCTAGTTTGGGTCATGGAAGGTCTGCAAGGAAACAGCCCGGCTGGGAGAGCACCAGGGGCCCCTCGGGTCAGCCCTGAGCTGCCAACGTTCCCCTTTATTGGAACCAAAGTCTGCTTGTGTAGATCTGAGTCTCTTATGCGTTGGGGGGGGGAGAGGCTTGCACATGCGCATTCTCACAAATCGCCTGCTCTCCCTGGTTTTCACATAAGGCGGAGGAGAGGCTCCTGCTTGAGGAAGCCCCAGGCCTGGCAGGGCTGGGGGTCTTGGCAGCTCCCCCCCCCCCGGGCACAGGCTCAGCTGGGCTTTCCTAGGGCAGGCAGCCTGAGGCGGCCTGGGGTCCACTCCCCACTTATAAGCAGAAGGGGGATGGCGAGGACAGCAGCAGCAGCCGCCAGAGAAAACCTGCCCATCTGGGTCAGGGGTCTTCAAACTTGGCCCTTTGATGACGTGTGGACTTCCACTCCCAGAATTCCTCAACCAGTGATGCTGGGAGTTCAAGTCCACATGTCACAACAGGGCCAAGGTTCCCCACCCCGACCCAGATGGGCAGGTTTTCTCCCACTCCTTCACCATCCAGGGGGCCGTTTTTGTTTCTTGCCAGCCGTGTGCTGATCACGCTAACCTTCGTGCCCTGGACTACGCTTTGCAGAAATAACGGCTTGCGGGGGGGGGGGGTGTCTTCCGAATTAAGGCAGATCAAAATGCCTTCCTTCCAATTTCAGATGGTGCATTGCCGGCCAAGGTGGTGCGGACACACTGTCCTTGAGAAGGGGCCAAGGTTTCTGGAGATTTCCCCCCCCTCCTGCCAAGTCAAGGGGGTTGGGGGGGGCGCAAGAGGCAATTATGGATGGAAATAAATGAAGGGGGGGGTAGAACTGCTGAAGTGGCCCTGAGACTGGGGGCTGCAGCTGCCCAAACGCAACTGGAGGGGAAAAGACGCCAGCAAGACGCTTCAAGGGGCGCCCCTGAATCCTTTAAGCCGGGGCTCCCCAGCTGCTCTTCAGAAAGTCTTATCGAGGGCCGGGTGCAAGTCCCTCCCTTCAGCACCGTCGTAACTTGGAATGGTCACCAAACAAGCAGTTGTAACTGGAGGACTATACCCGTATTGTAGAAACAATCTCACTGAACGAGCTTTATGTCATCTCAACAAATTACCATTATTAATTTTTGTTACTAATAGTAACAAAATGGTCATTGCAAGTCCACGTATGATATGCCGTATGCTAAATAAATAAGTAAACCATCAGTAATTTCCATGGATTTTCGTCTTCCCTGGGAATACTTTGGGAGAGTAGTATATTCGTACTCTTAGAGTGGGGAGAATATATTTTAGGACACCTGGCCAGCCCGTTTAAACGTCCCTGTTGTGATGCGTAATGGAGCCATGTGTCATTGCCCAAAGAAAATCCACTTTTACCCAATTTTGGATAATATTCCCAGGGTTGGGAAAAAGCACTTTAAGAGGCTGGCAGGGAAAATGGATCAGGCTTTCCAACTGCTGCCCCTGTCGCCGGGGTCCCCAGGCCGCCTCTGCTCCTGACCTGGCCCGCCTTGCAAGGCTGTTGGGAGGGGCCCAGGCTCCCAATTCTGCCACTCTTCCGCCTCTTCACCCCCCAGATCCCACCGGGACCCCCCGCCTGCTGAGGAATGACTCCACCTGTGGGACATCGGTGACCTCTCAGCCAGACGGCTCCGTGGCGGTAGAGACGGCCTTTGACGGATGCTACACGCAAGCGCAGGTAAGAGTCTGGCTCGTGGCACGGGGGGAGTGGGCTCCGCTGGCCCCCTCTTCCCACCCAAGCTACACCCTGCACTGCCCAGGGCGGGCAGAAACCTTGGCAGGGCTGTCGTGCCCGAGTCTTCCGGCCTGCTGTGATGGCTCTTCCCCATTTCCCCAACGGGCCCCGATGGCCCCCACCTTCCCCACAGCTGTTCATAGCCCAGACAGTCCGTCCAGGCAGCCCTGGCCCCTGGCCATTGGACCTGCTGACCAGGGGAGATTGAAGTGGCACCTTGGGCACTGGGCAGGATGTAGGGAAGACCGACGGAGCTGTGGGCTGCATTGATTGCAAGAGGGATCTCGGAGTCCCAGCAGACGATCCCTTGAATAGGAGCCAGCCGTGTGCAGCCGCCGCCAAAACAGCCCTGGGCTGCATTAACAGAGGGACAGAATCAAGATCACATAAAATGGTTAATACCAGTTTACAAGGCCTGGGTAAGGCCACACTTGGAATACTGCATCCAGTTTTGGTCACCACGATGTAAAAAAAAGATGTTGAGACTCTAGAAAGAGTGCAGAGAAGAGCAACAAAGATGATCAGGGGACTGGAGGCTAAAGCATATAAGGAAAGGCTGCTGGAATTGGGTCTGTCTAGTTTAATGAAGAGAAGGATGAGGGGGGACAGGATAGCAGTCTTCCAGTATCTCAGGGGCTGCCACAAAGAAGAGGGAGTCAAGCTGTTCTCCAAAGTACCGGAAGGCAGGACAAGAAGCAACGGATGGAAACTAATCAAGGAGAGAAGAATTAAGGATAAATTTCCTGACAGGACAATTAACCAGTGGAACTACTTGCTGGGCTGCCCTTTGTCGCATTCTGTGCCTGGGGTGCTCAGGATGCCTTGTGGACCCCCCAGAAAGGAGGTTTCAGGATCTGAAAGAACTCCGGGACATCCTTGGTGGGCAGAGTGAGGCCCCCCCATTGGCCCCAGGAAGGCTCCCCCAAACCAGCGCTGTGACCCCAAAGGCAGGGGGCCAAGGAGAGGCTTGCAGGTGGGCTGGGGTGACTGCGGGCTCCTCCTCCCCCCCCACCAGGACGGGAGCTATCGGACCACCGTGCAGATCGAAGGCGCCAGGCCGGATGGACGGAAGACCACCTACAAGGAGGAGCTGAGGTGCCCAGAGCCACGTTTAGGTAGTTGGGGGGGGAGCTTTTGTCTGGGGACTGTGGGGTGGGGGCCCCTGTAGCTCCCCATCTTCAGGGCCACGTGCTGCTCCAGTGCATCAGCCACCAGCTGAAATGACAGCATTTGGGGGTGGGGGCTGCCCCTGGGGTCTTCCTCCGCCTGAGGGGGCTGTGGAGTTTCTAAGCCAGGGGTCTTCAAACTTGGCCCTTGGATGACTTGTGGACTTCAACTCCCAGAATTCCTCAGCCAGGCACGCGTGCCTGGCTGAGGAATTCTGGGAGTTGAAGTCCACAAGTCATCCAAGGGCCAAGTTTGAAGACCCCTGTTCTAAGCGGAATCCTCTTATAATGCTTCAAAAATGGGGTTGCGTGTTGTTCCCTTAAAGCCCAGACCAAAGGGGGAAGACCCCACTTCTGCCCAGGTCACCCCTGGGGAGAGAGGAGAGTAAGGCTGCCTTCCTCAGAGGCCAGGGCTGCTGAGCCCCCCCCCTTGTGGGATGAGACCAGGGTCCCATGGATGCAAGCCAGGGATGGCCCGCCTGCAGCCAGTGAGGGAGGGGGGCTCCCTCCTGGTCTCTTGAGTGGAAGGGGAGAGGAGCCCCCCCACCAGGCCCCCAGGGGCTTCCTGCCCCACTGCCCTTGTGCCCAAAGCTGCTGCAGGCCAGGGGGGGGAGGTGAGGTCACAAAGAGGTGCTGTTGATGTGGGAGAAGCCCACCCTGGCCCTGGCAACTGGAGGGGGCTCAGACCCCTCCCTGCCTCCTGCCAGGCAGATGGCAACTGGCATGGCTTCCCTCGCACTCCTGGCGCTCCTGGCGGCTTCTACTGCCAAGACGGTCCCCGCTGAGATGGGGTGGGAGCCGCAGGCTGCAGTGGGGCTGCCTGGAGGTGGGTGCTGTGGCAGCCGGGGGGGCTGGGAGGGTCTGCCGCCTCCGAGGAACCCCAAATTCAAACCCACCATGGGAAATCAGGGTGCTGGCTCAGGGTCCCTCCAGGACACAAACGGGGCCGCTTCCGAGAGGCTCAGCCTGGTTGGCTCCTGGCCCGGCCGGTCTCCACTCTGGGGTCTCCCTGCCCTGTCCCGGGGCCCATGGTGCTGGGCTCTGGGGCCTCGCTGACCCAGCGTCTGTGTTCCCTTCAGCTAGGGGCCTTTTTTGGCTTTGAGCAAGGAAGCCCCTCGCTGGAAGGTTGGGGGCCCTGGGGGAGCCCCCGGCAGAGTCTCCAAGGAGCACTTCCCAATGCAGCTGCCCAGGGGAGGGGGCCCCCAGCAGCGCAGCCTCCCCAAGGGGTGCAACCATTGGGGCGGGCTCAGGAGTCTACTGGAGAAGGCTACAAAAGGCCCACCAGTAACTGTCAGACGTGGGGTGCCAAGCGGGGGGGGAGGGCAACAGCCAGCCAGACTGCTTGGGGGTCCCCAGGGGCCCGTCCTGAGCTCGGGCTGGCCTCTGCAGAGAGGACCCCGGGCCCTGGGGCCTCCAGGCGAGAGCTTCCCAACGCCACTGCAGGAGAAGCGGAGAGGCCAGGGGTCCTCCTGAGGAGTTGTGGGTTTTCTGTGGGTGCCCCATGGCTGCCCTCTCTCCCCCCCCAGTCCTGGACCCCCCCAGCCCCAGCCGGTGCTCAGCGGTGCAGCTGGCGGACCGCCTTCCCTGCAGCTCCCATCGGCTCAGCCACGGCCGCTGCTCCCGCTTGGGCTGCTGCTTCGACCCCCAGGACAGGGTGACCCCCTGCTACTACGGCAAGGCAGGTGAGCCGGCAGACCCCCGGGGCCGGAGGGAGGGAGGGAGGTGGGGGGGCTTGCCTGGCCAGAGAGGGGCTCCTGGGAGTCTCTTCCTTCCTGTTCCCCCAAGTCCCTTTGCAGACCCCCACGTCTATTTTGGGGGGCTTGGGGTGAGTCACGGCCTTCTGGTCCGAGTCACATGGGAGCCTTTGCCGCTGGTTCTGCCATCTGGCGCCTTTGGACCCGGCCGGGGGGGGTGGGGCTCAGCTGCTCCACATGGCTGCTCCAAGAAAAGGCGAGTCTGTCAGGGGGGGCTGTGGGCACCCCAGTTTTTCCCCTCTATTGGGGTGACAGAGGGTGTCATGTGGGCCCCTGAGCTGTTCTGAGGGCCCCCAAAGGGTGGCTGGTGAACAGAAAGCAGAACTGAATGGGCCATCCTTGTGAAGGTGGGGGAGGGGCTGGGGGGCTTCTTTCCTATTCCCTCCGCATTGGGGGTGGGGGGCACTACCCTTCTGGAAGGGCACCCTCTGCTGACCCCCTGCCGTGCCCAGGACGAGGAAGGGGCTCTGAGGAGGCAAAGCCACCCCAAGAGAAGCAGAGTGGGCGAGGAGGGGGGACCTGACTCACCCGGGTGACTGGGGGGGGGGAGACCCCGTGGCTGGCTTCCTCCTGCTGGCTGGGCTGGTGGCCAGTCAGGCAGTCACCCTCTTCTGCCTTTCGGGGGGGTGCCTCTGTCCTGCCCACGGCCCTTCTAGGCCAGGGGTGGGAGGAAAGGGGGCACCCTGAACTTTGACGCAGCAGACCCCCTCCCTCCCTGCACAGTGACGGCTCGCTGCACCCCGGAGGGCTCCCTCTCCCTGGCCGTCTCCAGAGACGCCGTTGTGCCCCCCCTGCGCTTGGACTCACTGCACCTGCTGGGCCGTCGGGGGGGGCCCTGTGGCCCCCTGCTCAGGAACGAAGCGTTTGTCGTGTTCAACTTTCCACTTTCCGCGTGTGGGACGACCTTCAAGGTCAGTGGGGAGGGTGTGACCCAACAACAACCCTGTGAGGTAGGGGGGCCTGGCAGAGGCTGGCTGGCTGGGGGTCACCAAGCCTGCTCCTGGGGCTGAAAGAGGCCGGACCCCGGGGGTCTCNGGCTATAAAAGGGTGGTGGTGGCCATTTGGACCTCTGTGACGGACAAAAGCTGAATCTCTGGCAAAGTAGTGTGCTGTGGTTTTAAACTGTGTGTATTGTTTTTGTTTCTGGGTGTTTGGAGTAAAAGGTCTTGGCAGGCAGCTACGGAGCTGCTGCCAAGTTTCTTATCTGTGAAGTGGTGTCTGGAGAAGTCTTTAACCCTCGGCTGGCTGTTTGGGTGTGTGGGTCGGAACGGGGACAGAACAGCAGCAGCCAGAGAAAACCTGCCCGTCTGGGTCAGGGGTCTTCAAACTTGGCCCTTTGATGACGTGTGGACTTCCACTCCCAGAATTCCTCAGCCAGCGATGCTGGGAGTTCAAGTCCACATGTCACAACAGGGCCAAGGTTCCCCACCCCGACCCAGATGGGCAGGTTTTCTCCCACTCCTTCACCATCCAGGGGGCCGTTTTTGTTTCTTGCCAGCCGTGTGCTGATCACGCTAACCTTCGTGCCCTGGACTACGCTTTGCAGAAATAACAGCTTGCGGGGGGGGTGTCTTCCGCATTAAGGCAGATCAAAATGCTGGATAGGTTTCGCCTTCCTTCCAATTTCAGATGGTGCATTGCCGGCCAAGGTGGTGCGGACGCAGCTGGCCGAGATTGGCCACAGCCACACTGTCCTTGAGAAGGGGCCAAGGTTCCTGGAGATTCCCCCCCCTCCTGCCAAGTCAAGGGGGCTGGGGGGGGGCGCAAGAGGCAATTGTGGATGGAAATAAACGAAGGGGGGTGTAGAACTGCTGAGGTGGCCCTGAGACTGGGGGCTGCAGCTGCCCAAACGCAACTGGGGGGGGAAAGACACCAGCAAGACGCTTCAAGGGGTGCCCCCGAATCCTTTAAGCCGGGGCTCCCCAGCTGCTCTTCAGAAAGTCTTATCGAGGGCCGGGTGCAAGTCCCTCCCTTCAGCACCGTCGTAACTTGGAATGGTCACCAAACAAGCAGTTGTAACTGGAGGACTATACCTGTATTGTAGAAACAATCTCACTGAATGAGCTTTATGTCATCTCAACAAACTACCATTATTATTTTTTGTTACTAATAGTAACAAAATGGTCATTGCAAGTCCACGTATGATATGCCGTATGCCAAATAAATAAGTAAACCATCAGTAATTTCCATGGATTTTCGTCTTTTCTGGGAATACTTTGGGAGAGTAGTATATTCGTACTTTTAGAGTGGGGAGAATATATTTTAGGACACCTGGCCAGCCCGTTTAAACGTCTCTGTTGTGATGCGTAATGGAGCCATGTGTCATTATCCAAAGAAAATCCACTTTTACCCAATTTTGGATAATATTCCCAGGGTTGGGAAAAGCACTTTTAAGAGGCTGGCAGGGAAAATGGATCGGGCTTTCCAACTGCTGTCCCTGTCGCCGGGGTCTCCAGGCCGCCTCTGCTCCTGACCTGGCCCGCCTTGCAAGGCTGTTGGGAGGGGCCCAGGCTCCGAATTCTGCCACTCTGCCGCCTCTTCACCTTCCCAGATCCCGCCGGGACCCCCCGCCTGCTGAGGAATGACTCCACCTGTGGGACATCGGTGACCTCTCAGCCAGACGGCTCCGTGGCGGTAGAGACGGCCTTTGACGGATGCTACACACAGGCGCAGGTAAGAGTCTGGCTCGTGGCACGGGGGGAGTGGGCTCCGCTGGCCCCCTCTTCCCACCCAAAGTACACCCCGCACTGCTCAGGGCGGGCAGAAACCTTGGCAGGGCTGTCGTGCCCGAGTCTTCCGGCCTGCTGTGATGGCTCTTCCCCATTTCCCCAACGGGCCCCAATGGCCCCCACCTTCCCCACAGCTGTTCGTAGCCCAGACAGTCCATCCAGGCAGCCCTGGCCCCTGGCCATTGGACCTGCTGACCAGGGGAGATTGAAGTGGCACCTTGGGCACTGGGCAGGATGCAGGGAAGACCGACGGAGCTGTGGGCTGCATTGATTGCAAGAGGGATCTCGGAGTCCCAGCAGACGATCCCTTGAATAGGAGCCAGCCGTGTGCAGCCGCCGCCAAAACAGCCCTGGGCTGCATTAACAGAGGGACAGAATCAAGATCACATAAAATGGTTAATACCACTTTACAAGGCCTGGGTAAGGCCACACTTGGAATACTGCATCCAGTTTTGGTCACCACGATGTAAAAAAAAGATTTTGAGACTCTAGAAAGAGTGCAGAGAAGAGCAACAAAGATGATTAGGGGACTGGAGGCTAAAACATATAAGGAAGGGTTGCTGGAATTGGGTATGTCCAATTTAACGAAGAGAAGGACGAGGGGGGACAGGATAGCAGTGTTCCAGTATCTCAGGGGCTGCCCCAAAGAAGAGGGAGTCAAGCTATTCTCCAAAGCACCAGAGGGCAGGACAAGAAGCAACGAATGGAAACTAATCAAGGAGAGAAGAATTAAGGATAAATTTCCTCACAGTAAGGACAATTAACCAGTGGAACTACTTGCTGGGCTGCCCTTTGTCGCAACCTCTGCCTGGGGTGCTCAGGATGCCTTGTGGACCCCCCAGAAAGGAGGTTTCAGGATCTGAAAGAACTCCGGGACATCCTTGGTGGGCAGAGTGAGGCCCCCCCCTTGGCCCCAGGAAGGCTCCCCCAAACCAGCGCTGTGACCCCAAAGGCAGGGGGCCCAGGAGAGGCTTGCAGGTGGGCTGGGGTGACTGCGGGCTCCTCCTCCCCCCCCACCAGGACGGGAGCTATCGGACCACCGTGCAGATCGAAGGCGCCAGGCCGGATGGACGGAAGACCACCTACAAGGAGGAGCTGAGGTGCCCAGAGCCACGTTTAGGTAGTCGGGGGGGCTTTTCTGTGGGGACTGTGGGGTGGGGCCCCCTGTAGCTCCCCATCTTCAGGGCCACGTGCTGCTCCAGTGCATCAGCCACCAGCTGAAATGACAGCATTTGGGGGTGGGGGCTGCCCCTGGGGTCTTCCTCCACCTGAGGCGGCTGTGGAGTTTCTAAGCCAGGGGTCTTCAAACTTGGCCCTTGGATGACTTGTGGACTTCAACTCCCAGAATTCCTCAGCCAGGCACGCGTGCCTGGCTGAGGAATTCTGGGAGTTGAAGTCCACAAGTCATCCAAGGGCCAAGTTTGAAGACCCCTGTTCTAAGCGGAATCCACTTATAATACTTCAAGGCTGCCTTCCTCAGAGGCCAGGGCTACTGAGCCCCCCCCTTGTGGGATGAGACCAGGGTCCCATGGATGCAATCCAGGGATGGCCCGCCTGCAGCCAGTGAGGGAGGGGGGCTCCCTCCTGGTCTCTTGAGTGGAAGGGGAGAGGAGCCCCCCCACCAGGCCCCCAGGGGCTTCCTGCCCCACTGCCCTTGTGCCCAAAGCTGCTGCAGGCCAGGGGGGGAGGTGAGGTCACAAAGAGGTGCTGTTGATGTGAGAGAAGCCCACCCTGGCCCTGGCAACTGGAGGGGGCCCAGACCCCTCCCTGCCTCCTGCCAGGCAGATGCTGACTGGCATGGCTTCCCTCGCACTCCTGGCGCTTCTGATGGCTTCTACAGCCAAGACGGTCCCCGCTGAGATGGGGTGGGAGCCGCAGGCTGCAGTGGGGCTGCCTGGAGGTGGGTGCTGTGGCAGCCGGGGGGGCTGGGAGGGTCTGCCGCCTCCGAGGAACCCCAAATTCAAACCCACCATGGGAAATCAGGGTGCTGGCTCAGGGTCCCTCCGGGACACAAACGGGGCCGCTTCCGAGAGGCTCAGCCTGGTTGCTCCTGGCCCGGCCGGTCTCCGCTGTGGGGTCTCCCTGCCCTGTCCTGGGGCCCATGGTGCTGGGCTCTGGGGGCTCACTGACCCAGCCTCTGTGTTCCCTTCAGCTAGAGGCCCTTTTTTGGCTTTGAGCAAGGAAGCCCCTCGCTGGAAGGTTGGGGGCCCTGGGGGAGCCCCCGGCAGGGCCCCCAAGGAGCACTTCCCAATGCAGCTGCCCAGGGGAGGGGGCCCCCAACAGCGCAGCCTCCCCAAGGGGTGCAACCATTGGGGCGGGCTCAGGAGTCTACTGGAGAAGGCTACAAAAGGCCCACCAGTAACTGTCAGACGTGGGGTGCCAAGCGGGGGGGGGGGAGGGCAACAGCCAGCCAGACTGCTTGGGGGTCCCCAGGGGCCCGTCCTGAGCTCAGGCTGGCCTCTGCAGAGAGGGCCCCGGGCCCCGGGGCCTCCAGGCGAGAGCTTCCCAACGCCACTGCAGGAGAAGCGGAGAGGCCAGGGGTCCTCCTGAGGAGTTGTGGGTTTTCTGTGGGTGCCCCATGGCTGCCCTCTCTCCCCCCCCAGTCCTGGACCCCCCCAGCCCCAGCCGGTGCTCAGCGGTGCAGCTGGCGGACCGCCTTCCCTGCAGCTCCCATCGGCTCAGCCACGGCCGCTGCTCCCGCTTGGGCTGCTGCTTCGACCCCCAGGACAGGGTGACCCCCTGCTACTACGGCAAGGCAGGTGAGCCGGCAGACCCCCGGGGCCAGAGGGAGGGAGGTGGGGGGGCTTGCCTGGCCAGAGAGGGGCTCCTGGGAGTCTCTTCCTTCCTGTGCCCCCAAGTCCCTTTGCAGACCCCCACGTCTATTTTGGGGGGCTTGGGGTGAGTCACGGCCTTCTGGTCCGAGTCACATGGGAGCCTTTGCCGCTGGTTCTGCCATCTGGCGCCTTTGGACCCGGCCGGGGGGGGTGGGGCTCAGCTGCTCCACATGGCTGCTCCAAGAAAAGGCGAGTCTGTCAGGGGGGGCTGTGGGCACCCCAGTTTTTCCCCTCTATTGGGGTGACAGAGGGTGTCATGTGGGCCCCTGAGCTGTTCTGAGGGCCCCCAAAGGGTGGCTGGCGAGCGGAAAGCAGAGATGAATGGGCCCTCCTTCTGAAGGTGGGGGAGGGGTCAGTGGGCTTCTATTCCCTCCGCATTGGGGGTGAGGGGCACTACCCTCCTGGGAGGGCACCCTCTGCTCACCCCCTGCCGTGCCCAGGACGAGGAAGGGGCTCTGAGGAGGAAAAGCCGCCCCGAGAGAAGCAGAGTGGGCGAGGAGGGGGGACCTGACCCACCCGGGTGACTGGGGGGGGAGACCCCTTGGCTGGCTTCCTCCTGCTGGCTGGGCTGGTGGCCAGTCAGGCAGTCACCCTCTTCTGCCTTTCGGGGGGGGCGCCTCTGTCCTGCCCACGGCCCTTCTAGGCCAGGGGTGGGAGGAAAGGGGGCACCCTGAATTTTGACCCAGCAGACCCCCTCCCTCCCTGCACAGTGACGGCTCGCTGCACCCCGGAGGGCTCCCTCTCCCTGGCCGTCTCCAGAGACGCCGTTGTGCCCCCCCTGCGCTTGGACTCACTGCATCTGCTGGGCCGTCGGGGGGGGCACTGTGGCCCCCTGCTCAGGAACGAAGCGTTTGTCGTGTTCAACTTTCCACTTTCCGCGTGTGGGACGACCTTCAAGGTCAGTGGGGAGGGTGTGACCCAACAACAACCCTGTGAGGTAGGGGGGCCTGGCAGAGGCTGGCTGGCTGGGGGTCACCAAGCCTGCTCCTGGGGCTGAAAGAGGCCGGACCCCGGGGGTCTCGCGGCTTCTCCACGACGGCTGGGCCCCAGTTCCTCTTTGAGCGTTAAAATGGACGGGTCAAAGAGAGAAGAAGAATCACTGCAGGTTAAAATAGTTAGTCTGCCAACCCCCCCCCTTAACATTGCTCCAAAATGTTTAACCATTTTCTACACCTGCAAATGTCTGCCTGAAGGGCCCTCCCCCTAACAAACAGGCCCCATTGGGAGACAAAAGCAGAGGGTCTCTAGGGAGGGAGGGAGGGGAGGGGAGGGAAGGCAAGGAAGGAAAGAGAGGAAAGGGACAAAGGGAGGGAGGAAGGAAGGTGAGGGAAGGGAAGGGAAGGAGGGAGGGAGGGAGGACATAGAGGAAGGAGAGGGAGGGGGGAAGATGAAGAGGGAGGGAAGGCCTCCCCTCAACCAGCCCTTTCTCCCCCAGGACGTGGGAGGCCACCGGATTTACCAGAATGAGCTCTCGGCAGAGAGACGGACCCTCCGCACCTCTTCAGGCGCCGTCACCCGGGACAGCGGCTTCTTCAGGTGAAGGTCCATCCTGGGCAGCAGGAGGCTGGGAGGGGGGGCGGAGGGCCAGGGCCAAGACCCCCACCCCTGAGATGGAAGGGGGGTCCCAGTCTTTCACTTACGGAAGGTCTCCAAAAACTAGCTCTGGAGAAGAGGCAACTGCCCTTTGGAACCCCCCCCCCGCAGCATCCTGCCTGCCTGGCCCTCGGAGCCCTCGGGGCCCTGGACTGGCGCTCGGCCCCCTCCCAGGAAGGCAGACGGGGCCTCAGGCCAGCCAGCTGGGCAGCCCTGGGCCTCCTCCTGCCTCTGCTTGCTGCCTCCGCCCAGGCAGAGAAGGCAGCTGCCCCTCCTTTCACAGAGCGGGGGTGGGCCTTGATGACCTCAAGGGTGCCCCCCAGGGGATCCGGCAGCAGCGGCCACGAAAGCCCCAGCCTTAGGAGGAGCTGAGAAAAGCCCCCCCTCGCCCCCCCTCGGCTCTCTTGCAGGCTGACCATCCGCTGCAGCTACTCTGGCCACGAGCCCCTCCCTGTGAGTGTCCTGGTGGCGACCCCTCCTCCTCCGGCTGCCGTTGCCCAGCGGGGGACCCTCACCCTGGATATGCGGGTCGCTCGAGGTGGGTGCCTTGGGGGCCGGGCCCCCCCCGGGAGGAGAGCCTGCCTGCTGTGTCCCTCTGGGGCAGCTCCACTTCAGAGGTCTCCTCCCTCCCTCCCTCCTCCGCAGACGAGACCTACTCCTCCTTCTACGGGGCTCTGGACTTCCCCGTGGCGAAGCTCCTGCGTGACCCCATTCACCTTGAGGTCCGGCTCCTCGGAAGGAGGGACCCGGCGCTGGTTCTGCTCCTCCACGAATGTTGGGCCACTCCGGGCACCAGCCCCCTCCGGGCACCTCAGTGGCCCCTTCTGCAGAATGGGTCTGTTACTTGGATCTGGCGGGAGGGGGGGCAGGCCTTGGGGGGGGAAATGTGCCTTGACCAACCGGTTTGCCTGGCGCCCATGGAGGGCTTGGCTGCCTCCTCCGGTCTCTGGCCAGCGCTTGACCAGGGAGAACTGCTGCGCCGCCCAGCCCCCTTGATTCTGTGGGGCCCAGCACTTCATTTCTTTCCATTTATATGCCACCCATCTCTCTCCCAAAGTGGGGCGGGAGCAGAGCTTCCAATGTCCTACCTTGCTGGGAGGAGAATTGACCCAGAGTCTGGGAGGGGCAGCCTGCCCCCCCTCCCCGTCTGCTGGTGGAGGAGCGGCCATTACCCTGGTTCAGAAATCGAGGGTCCCGCAGAATTGGCTGGTTGCCAAGCGCTTCACAGTGGGGAGCAGCCCAAACCCCTCCCTGGCCTGGAAGTGGGAATTCCCGGCGGGGGAGAAGAGGGGCCGGCCCCGCAGCTCTGCCAGTGACGCCGGGCTCCCCGGTCTGCCCTCCAGGTGCCCCTCCCAAGGAGACAACTACCAGACCCAGCTGGTGCCCCTCCAGTGGGATGCGGGGCTGCCCTTCCCCTCCCACCACCAGCGCTTCGTGGTCAGGACCTTCGCCTTTGTGGGCGCGGACTCTCGGCGGATGCTCAGCGGCCCGGTAAGGTGGGGGGGCTGCTCTGGGTGGGGGCTGCCCAGCAGGGTTCTGGTCCTGTTGCTCAAATCAGAGCAGAGCAGGATGAGGTCTCCTCCTGTCCTGAGTTCTAATTCTGAACAGCCTATCCTGGACTCGGTGCCGCTGAGCATTCTCAGAGACACCGTCTCCCTCCCAGAGCCGTAATCCCCTCCGCCTGAAGGGAGATAGTTCAGACTTTGGGGGGACCATTTTCCCCCAGCAGATGAGCTGTGGGCCTTGAGTGTGGGGTGGGGCTCCCCAGGAGAGCGCAAGGCCCTCCCGCTGCTCCTGACCTCTGCGTCCTTCCCCATAGATTTACTTCCACTGCAGCGCTTCCGCCTGCGCGCCCACTGCCCAGGACCCCTGCAGCACCCTCTGTGAGACTGGCCTGCAGGGCAGACGTGAGTTGGTCGCTGTGGAGGGAGACCCTCTGTGGGGGGGGTGGAGAAGCTGTGGGGACCACACTGTGGTGTTCATGCCCCTTCTTCTCCGCCAGGCCGGAGAGATGCCCGGGAAGGAGCTCCGTCGGAGGCGGGGCAGGCGCTGATGCTCGCTTCCGCTGGGCCGGTGGACTTCTTCGGCCTCCCCGTGCTGGCCTCCCGCCCGGAAGGTATTGAGGGGAGAGCCCTGGGGGGGGTCACCTCGCGTGTTTGGCTGCATCGAGTGGTCTTGAATCCCAGACATCTCTGCCACACACGTGTCCCCACATGAAGCACCGTGAGGGGGGACCCCGTGGGCCCCAGACGATGTGTCCTCCCACCCTTGACCCTGTGGGCTGCTGTCTGGTGACCTTCAGCAGCAGCAGCACCACGTTCCTCCTATCCGGGGGCCCTTTTGGAGGACAGATTGTGCAGATTCTGCCCAGAGTGAAGACCCCCCCAACTCAACTTGGGCTATCTGAGACCCCCTGCCCGGCACGCTCTTTCCCCCACAGGGTCCGGAGCGCTTGCCCCGGAGGGCTCCCTGCGATGGGAGGACGGGCTGTGTCTGGCGTCAGGGCTGGTTGCGGCACTGGGCCTGGGATCGCTGGTGCTGCTGCTGCTGCTCCGAAGGCATAGGGGACAGATGCCGCGCGGCCGGGAGCCCCCCTACACCTGAAAGAGAAATAAACTCGCTCTTGTGAGCCCAGTGGCCACGCTGGTTCTCTGGCTGGGAGAGGGGAGGGGGGCTTGGTCTCCGGCCGGTGTCTCCGGTGTCTCCGTGGGTCTTCCCTTCAGGGGAAGCAGGTGCCTCCTGCTGGGTGCCTCTGCAGGAGAGGCTGCTTCGCCCCCCCCCCCCCAGAGAGGCTGCTTGTTCCTCCACAGGGAGCTTAATTTCTCCCTTTCCCACACCAGCCATTTGGGCTTTGGCATCCCTGGCCCTGTGCCCAAGTAAGGCCGGCCTCCACTTGGAGGAGAAGCTGGATGGGGCAGAAAGCAGCTCCCTCCCTCCCTCCCTCCCTCTGCAAATGTGGCAATCCAGGGTGAGGAGAAGAGCGTGCAAAGGTGCCCTCGCAGAGTCCGTGGCTTGCCTCCCCCTGAGAACAGAGACCCCCCCGGCACGCCAGGCCAAGGGCAGATGGCAGCTCGGGACACCCTGAAGCCTGAATCGCCCCCCCCCCCGTCCCTGGGGAGCTTCCCTTTGGCTGCCTCCTGCATTTTGTGCCCAGACTCCCTGTGGTCTCCTTTTCTCTCCCATCTCCTGTAAACGGCACCTTAGGTGTGGGCAGGAGGCGCAGAGGGCCTCTGCAAAGACAAGGGGGGGACTGCTTCCCGGGGGGGCAAGGGGGCTTCTCTGTGTTGGCAGCCCGAAAGGCTTGCTTGCTGTTTTCCAGAGCGCAGATAACCCAGTGGGCTGTGTTCACACCGCACGTGCACAAACACGCACACAAAACCATGTTACAAGCACGCGGTGACCTTTCTGCCCGGCCTCCTTGCAGGCAGCTGAGAGCAGCGGTTGCAAGCGTCCGTTGCTCTCGCACGTTGCTCTGACTGCAGCCTTGGGCAGTCTGCTGGGTTGTGTAACGGGCCCTGGTGCGGCACAACTGGCACTTTGGCTGCAGAAATGCTGCTGGAAGAGGGTCCCGGCTCAGGAGGAGCCCCCCCCTCGGCATTCTACAGATTCTATACAGGGATAGAATCAAGATATCATGTGTCGGTGCCACTCTGTAAGGCCCTGGTAAGGCCCCACTTTGAATTCTGCGTCCAGCTTTGGTCTCCGTGATATGAAAAGACGCTGAGACTCTGGAAAGGGTGCAGAGAAGAGCAACAAGGGCGGTCGGGACTGCAGGCTAAATGATATAAAGAACAGTTGCAGGAATTGGGCATGTCTAGTTTAATGAAGAGAAGGGCCAGGGGTGACAGGATAGCAGTCTTCCAGTATCTGAGGAGGGTGGTCAAGCCATTCTCCAAAGCCCCTGAAGGCAGGACAAGAAGCAATGGATGGAAACTGAACAAGGAGAGAAGCAGCCTGGACCTCAGGAGAAATTTCCCGACAGTGAGAACAATCGGTGGAAGGGTTTGCCTTCAGAACTTGTGGGTGCTCCAACACTGGAGTTTTGCAAAAAGAATCATTTGTCTGAAGTGGTAGAGGGTTTACCTCTCACGGAAGGGGCTGGACTGGAAGACCTCCAAGGTCCCTTCCAATTCTGTTATTCTGGCAGTGAAGCCAATAGCTTGGGGAGGGGAGGGGCCCCCTGGTTTTCTTGAGGGTGATATAAAAGAGGTTTGTGAAGCTTGCCAGTCTCTTATTCCAAGCCCTGGGTCCCGAAGTGGATCCCCACCCAAGGGTCATTTTGGGAGACAGTGGTGGCTGAGGAGGAACTGCCACCGTGGAGCTTGGCAGGCTTCTGAGCCGGAACAGGCGCCCAGATCCCCCTGAACGCGCGTAGAGAACAGCCAGGTGGGGCAGCTCGAGACACGGAATTCTTGGAGGGGCTGAATATATCGAAACTGCAGGGAGGGAAGTAACTCTCCTCCATAAAGCCGAACGGTGTTCCAGGAACCAGACAAGAAGCAGTTTAAATCGGGACATATTTTATTGAAGGCTGTCCGGAAGACCCTCTTCGTGGCAAGAACCGGCTTCCTTCCCTGGCAGGGCAAGTCCTTCCCCGGACATAGTCAAAGGGAGGGAGGCGGCTTTGGTTCCAGCATTAATTACCCAGCTGAAGCCTTGAGATAAGAATCAACGACATAGAAAACGAGGCGCGGTACGAACAGCAACTAAATCAAAAGATGCTGAGACTCTAGAAAGAGTCCAGAGAAGAGCAACAAAGATGATTAGGGGACTGGAGGCTAAAACATACAAAGAACGGTTGCAGGAATTGGGTATGTCTAGTTTAATGAAGAGAAGGACGAGGGGGGACATGATAGCAGTGTTCCAATATCTCAGGGGCTGCCCCAAAGAAGAGGGAGTCAAGCTCTTCTCCAAAGCGCCTGAAGGCAGGACGAGAAGCAACGGGTGGAAACTCATCAAGGAGAGAAGCAACCTGGAACTAAGGAGAAACTTCCTGACAGTGAGAACAATTAACCAGTGGAACAACCTGCCTCCAGAAGCGGTGAATGTTCCAACACTGGAGGTTTTTAAGAAGAGACTGGATGGCCATTTGTCCGAAATGGTATAGGGTTTCCTGCCTGAGCAGGGGGTTGGACTAGATGACCTTCAAGGTCCCTTCCAACTTTACTATTATTATTATTATTATTATTATTATTATTATTATTATTATTATTATTATTATTATAATCAAAGGGCGACCAGAACCGAAAGGCGCGTGAGCCCTCCTCCTGGGGCTCTCTTCAGCCGCCCCCGCCCACCAGGGAAGGCCAGAGAAGGGAGCCGGGGCTCGGACTGCCTTCCGAGGGGCCTGCGGAGCGGAGCCTTCCCTGCGCCAGCGAAGGGCGAGGGGCGGCCGTCCTGGGGGAGCGACGGCGCCCCTCTCCCACCCCCGAGAGCAGAACTGCGCTGATCCGCTCGGTTCCTTCTAGGCTGCCGGGAAGGGTTCGCCGTTAAAGGCGGCTGGAAAAGCCTTTCCGTCTTCGGAGGGGGAGCGGTGGCGCGGCTAGTCACTCCCGCCAGCCACGCTCCGTGGGCGGCTCTGCAGCCGCGCGGACCCCGCCCGGGGCGGCCCCTCCGGAGCCCGGCGGCGGCGGCGGCGGCGGCGGAGTAGGAGAGGCGGCGCGAGGAGGACGGGCGCTGGCCGTGGTGCTGAAGCCGCTCCTCCCCCGGGCTCCGTGGGAAACGCGTCCCTGCCGCCTCCGGGGGTCCCGGGAAATGAGACCCCCCACTTTCCCAAGGAGGGGGATCGCCGCCCCTCGGAAGCCACTAGACCTGCGGTAGGCAACCTTGGCTCTTTTATGATTCCTGGACTTCAGCTCCCAGAATTCCTGAGCCAGCCATGCTGGCTCAGGAATTCTGGGAGCTGAAGTCCACGAGTCATAAAAGAGCCAAGGTTGCCTACCAATGCACTAGACTGACTGCAAGGAGGAAGCCCGATAGTGGGAGGGGAGGCGCCACGGGACCCACGCGCAGCCAGGCTGCCCCCGACGACCCTTCCGCAGCCACAATTTGCAGGGCGCCCCCCCCCACCATTGCAGCTTTAGGTTTACAAAACCTCGCACCCGCGTGGATGGAGAAAGGGGGATGTCTTGGGCGGGGGGCTCTGGAGTCAGCCTCCTAAGTGGAAAGCAGCCGCCCCCGTCCCACCCGTACTGGAGGGCTGCGACCCCACCTTTCGGAAGAGGCCAAAGGGGCTTGGATGCAGAGCGGACCCGCGCCTCCCTCTTTCGCACGCAGCTCCGAGGCCCAGCTCCTGCAAGGGGGGGAGGGAGGGAGGCGGGCGGGCGGGGAAGGGGGGAGGTATGTGGGAGGGGGAGATACGAGAAGGAGCCAGGGCTGCACGCGCAAGCCGCTCCCCAGAGCCTGCAGGCGCACGCGCACGCGCCCTCGGCTTCAGCCAGGTTGGGCAAGGAAAGTGAGCGAGGCGCGGCGGGAAGGAAGCGCCCTTGTGACTGTCCCGTGGAACTCTGGGAAACGTAGTTTGCCTTCTCCCGCCCCTCAAGCCTAGGAAAGCCAACAACCCCGAACCCAGAATGATAGAGCAGCGGGCAGAAGATCTACAGCCGGCGGGCACCGCCGCCCAGAGGCAGGGGGGGGGCATTATAGCAGTGGGAAAACCGAAACACAGCTGGGCGTTGCGCAGCCGTCGAAAGCCGCCCCGGACTCCGAAGATCTCGCAGTTGGCGGACTTTGCTCCCCGCGCTGGAGAAGCTTTCGGGGGGGGGGGCTGTGCCGTGATAACTGCCCCCCTTGCGCCCCCCTCTCCCCTTGTGGCGGCCACCTGGGCGGGTGGCTGTTTGCCTGGAAGAGACGCCCGGAAGCTGCAGGGGGCGGTCAGTTGCTGTGGCCAAAGGGGGGGGGGGTTGAAAGAGGTCCAGCCCCACCCCCTGCAAAAGACTGCCAATGGGTGCCCCCCCCTTGACCGAGCTTCACTTACTCCTGAGGAATTCTCTTCAAATGAGGAACAGCCGTTTTTATAGTTTTTAAAATGTTTATAATTGTTCGTGGTCATGATTTTAGACATTTATTATTTTAGTTTTGTTCCCCAAAGTAATCTTCTTGTGAGATGGGCAGCTATAAATCAATTAGATAGATGGATAAACAGACAGACAGGCAGACAGACGAATGCCCCTGGGTGTCTTGCCCCCCAGAGGAAGGGGCTACAGCGGAGTTGGGAGAGCTAGTGGGCTTGGTTTTCAGGAGAGGACACTCCCCCCCCCACCCCAAACCCTTCAGACAGTGGTGGAGAAATCCTGCTGTTGCTTCTTTTGCATCCCTTTCTCCGAGGGCAGCTGCGGTCACAAGCCCTAGACGGCTGGAAGTGAGGAGGGCCCCCTTGGGAAGGGATAGGCTGGAGGGGTCACAACACCAGGCTGGGGGGGGGGGATTGGTAGAACCCAGTATTCCTAGGAGTAGGGCAAGTGTCCAGGAGGGTTGCGTCATTTAGTTTTCCAACAGAATGCTGCTAGAGTCTCTGTTCTGTGTTTTTGTGGTAGACCTGTGTTGGTCTCCGCCCCAAGCACGGGGCGGGGGGGGGGATCAAATGGGCTTGGGGGAAACTCCAGAGGTAGCACAAGAGCCTCACATGACATTTTGCAGAGGTCTCCCTTGGAAATCCCCTGCTCTCTGGTGCCGCCAGTCCAGATCTGGGCGGCAGGCGGCAGCAGCCAGCTGCTCTTTGTGTTGTTTTCCAGCTGTGAACCGTAAACAACCTTTCAGAATCTGGCTGGCCTGCTTTCTCCCCAGCCAGCTCGGCCTCCCTCCTCCCATTTCTGTGGAATTGGGGCAGCTGCCTCCAAAACACACACGCACACAAACAAACAAGGGCCCAAAGCGAATACTGCAGCGGTTTCAAAAGAGAGGTGCCAGTGAGCTGTGCCAAGGAGTGGCCGGAAGACAATGACAACAGCCTCACCCCCCCACCCCCCACCGATTCCTCTCAGCTGATAGGAAGGGGGGAGCAGATCAAAGGGCTCCCCAAGACTCAGGAGCAAGAGCCACTGCAGAAGGGGGGTGCTGAGCTCCAGGATGAGGCCTCGGTGGGCGCTGTCACCTGATTGACCCAGTCTGTGTGAAAGGAGAGGTGTTGGGGGGCACTGAAATGCCAGGGTTGTGGGCTCAGATGGGGGCATAAGCTGCCCGGGGGGGTGTGGATTTGCTCTCCTGAGAGAGGGGTCACCCAGGAAAGGGGACCAACTCGGGGGCAGAGACTTTTGCAGCAGGGGGGGGAGCTGGGTCTTGCCTGCCCAGATGCTGGGAAAGGCACAAGAGTCACAACAACAGCGGGCACCACCCATGTCTGTGTTTGTTGACCTTGTGACTTTTCCTCAGCACTCCAGGAGCCCTGGGGGGTTTCAGGTCTGGCCTTCCAAGGGGTTTCTGGGACTGGAGCCCCCTCGGCTGAGGCTGTGCACACTTGGGCACCGGCAGACCCGCAAACAGACCCTGGTTGCGTCCCCCCCCCCACTTGTCCTCTCACTCCCTGTGAGAGCCTGTAGACACCCGGGTTCCTCCTTCGTGCCCTGGGATCACTTCGCCTCCAGGTGGGGCTGAGGGAAGCGCCGGTGTTCGTCCAATTCAAGAGTCGCTTTCTCGGTAGACTGCAGGGGGTCTCCTGGCACTCTGGCTGCAGCGCCGGCCTCTCAGGACAAGCTGCGTGCGATCCCTCTGCAGAAGCTCGAGTGGGTGTTGTCGGCTTCTCTCCAGCTTCTCCCCCTGGGAAAAGGCCGGGCTGTCCACGCGGAGCACGGTGACTCAGTGGACGTCCTCGCACACGGAGCGCGAGCCGGAGTCTCCCGGCGTGGCTCAGCCGGGGAGCCGGGACGTCCAGGCCCGGAGGCGATGCGCCTCGGGAGCTCAGCGCTGGGAAGAAACGGGCCTCCTTCCCGTCCGGTTGCGCGTGAATCACAAGACCAAAGAAAGCGGTGACGCAACGCGCGTCGTGTGACCGGCCGCCCGGCCGCCGCGACCTCTCGCCCACTGCGGGCGGGAGGCGGGTTCGGAGCTGGACATTTCTGCGCGGGGGGGGGGAGCGCTGTGCCTGGGCAAAAGTGGAGAAAGGCCGAAGAAAGAGGGCGCCTGCAAGCAGAAGCCTCCCCCCCCCAGCCTGTTGCGTTTCCCCGAGTCTGCATGGGCATCTCCTTTAACCCCCCCCCCACCCACGGTCCGCGCAGGCTTTTCCCTCCTGCCAAGGACGTGGGCATCGGGGGTTCCTCGTGGTTTACCACCCAGTGTAAAATCCCCCTGGCTGACTCGACGCCCCGCCAAGAGACTAGGTCGCCCGGGGAGCGGGGGGAGGGGAGGGTGAGCTGCGCTCCGTCCTCGCCCTCCCTTCCGAGGAACTCCTCGAGTTCTACAAAACAGCCCCCCCCCCCTCGCGCGCGCTCCCCGGGCAGGAAATGCCGCTGCTGGGAAACTCAGCCGAAACTCAGACGCTTCTCGGCCCCGAAGGCAAACGCTCGCCTCTCCCCGTGGGATCCCTTCGCGGACCAATGGCGAAGCTCGCGGGCCGGCCTGCTTTGCCGGCGGACCAATCGCAGGCGGGAACGGACGGAGTAAGCCCGCCCCTCGGGTCAGATATATGAAGCGCTGCCGACCGCGAGATCCCGCAGAGTTTCGGTCGCCGCAGCCGGGGAGGATCCGCTTCGGGAGCCGCGCTTGCTTTCGCTTCCCCGCCTGTGGATTATTGGCCCGGTTCCGCTTTGCTCCGCCGGCCTGCTTTGCGGGAAGGCCGGAGCCGCGTCCCCGCTCTGCCCCGCGGGTGGACCGCAGCTCGCCCTCGACATGACGCTGGAGGAGCTGCTGCCTTGTGACAGCGCGGCCCACGGGTGAGTCCGGCGCCCCGGCCGCCTTGGGGGGGGGAGGAGGAGAGGGACGGGGAGGGGCCGCGCGGGCGAGGCACCGGGGCCGCCTCTGACCCCCGGCCCGGCCTTCCTTCCTTTCCAGGATGGGCTCGGTGGGCGAGGCGCTGGAGCGGCTGCTGGCGGCGGCGCAGAGGCAGGGCTGCCTGACGGTGGGCGTCTACGAGGCCGCCAAGCTCATGAACGCGTGAGTGGAGGAGCCCCGCCGTCCCCCGAGAGCGCGGGCGGGGGGGGGGGAAGGGAGGGACGGGGCCCGGGTGCAGCCGGCAACAGCCGCCCGCCCCGCGAGACTCGCCGGGTCCCGGCTGCCCGGAAGCCGAGCGAAGGCGGGCCGCCGCCGCTGACCCCGCCGCCCTTCCCCGCAGCGACCCGGACAGCGTGGTGCTTTGCCTGCTGGCGGCGGACGAGGCGGACGGGGAGGACATCGCGCTGCAGATCCACTTCACGCTCATCCAGGCCTTCTGCTGCGCCAACGACATCCACATCCTGCGCGCCTCCGGCCTGGAGCGCCTGGCGGCCGTGCTGGGCGAGGGGCCCCCGGGCGGCGGCGTGGAGCCGCGGGACCTGCACTGCCTGCTGGTGACGGTGAGCCGGGCGGCGGGGGCGCCTGCGGGGGGGGGGCACCGGGCGGGCGCGGAGGCCGGCCTGGAACTCACGGGCGCCGCTGTCTCCCTCCCCGCAGAGCCCGCACACGGACGCCTGGGGCAGCCAGGGCTTGGCGGAGGTGGCCAGATTCTGCCAGGAGAGCCGGTGCAACGACCAGTGGGTGCCCTACGTGGCTCTGCAGGCGCGCTGAGGCCCCTGCCGGGGTCTGGTGCGGAGCGTCATGTGTGCAGCAGTTGTGTCCGAAGGGAAGAATGTCGGTTCTGTAAAAATCACAATAGCGCCTGACTATCGGCGGGCGGGCGACTGAGCGGTGGGTGAGTCACGCGAGAGAGAGAGAGAGAGAGAGCGGAGCAGTGCCTGCAGAAGTTCTGGCTTGGCCCGGAGGAGGAGGAGGGCTGCGCTGCTGCTCCATCAGCTGACTGCTTCGAAGGAGGAGGCGGCAGGATGGCGGCTGTGGGACCGTGTGGGCGCCAGGCTCCCCGAGGGCGGAGACGCTGCTCTGCCCGAGTGCCAAGGGGGCTGCCTGCCCAGGAGAGACGCACAGTGATCAGCTGGAAAGCCGAGCTGCAGGGAGGAGGTTAGGCCTGGGGGGGGGGTGGAGGGGGCCAGGCGTGCTCCTCTCCCAGGACTCTGCCCCAGGAGGAGGAGCAGCAGCAGCGGAGGAGGCAGCCCAAAGTCACCTCCGGCTTGGGAGCTTGTGGGAAGAGGACGAGGACGGAGCTCTCCAACCTTCAGCTGTGGAGGATTTTTCTACTTTTAAAAAAAAACTTCCTGGTACTGACTTTTATTTATCTTGGAAGAAGATTTGCATATGTTTGTTTTCGACTTTTCTCCGAAGACGAAATTCTGAAGTTGCAGGAGCCAAATGCAAATTTATTCATGGATTAAAAGAATAATAAACATATCTTATGGCCTGAAAGTAACACTTCAGCAAACCTTGAGTCTTTCTCGGGGGCCGCTTTCCTCTTCAACGGCCTCTTTGTGTTTCCTGCGTGACCATGAAGGGTGGGGGGGGGGGGCAAGTGTGCCTTTTGCACAGGATCAGGCCCAGCTGTTGTGCCAATACTAGCAGCTGGCGTTGCCTTGTGGCATTTCCAATGGTTGGGGGGGGGGCTGGATTTCCCTTCTCTACTTGGGATGCCTCCCTTAATTCTGCTCTCCTTTGGAGGATCTTGGCCCAAAAAGGCATCCATGCTCTCCCCTTTTTACTGCTTGGTCCAGGGCAGGGGTAGGCAACCTTGGCTCTTTTATGACTGGTGGACTTCAACTCCCAGAATTCCTGAGCCAGCTATGCTGGCTCAGGAATTCTGGGAGTTGAAGTCCACCAGTCATAAAAGAGCCAAGGTTGCCTACCCCTGGTCCAGGGCCTCATTCGGTGGAAAGTGTGAGTGTGAGCAGATGTTGCATAGTTGGAGTAGGTTCCGGATTGCAACAGACCTCCTGTAAAAAAAAAAAAAAAAACGTGTGTTCCAAAATGTTCCTAAACTTGTTCCTTCAGTTGGATCTGAGGTGGAGGAGCCAACAGGAAGCCCAGCCAAGCGCAGCGGTGCCAGGCAGTTGCCCTTGCCACAGAGTGAAACTGGCACGGTCCCCAATCCGCCTCTCTTTGCCCAAGCCCCAGAGCGAAGGCCTGCAGGATGGCCTCCCGTGGGGGAGGGGGGACATTGCTGCAACTGCCTTCCTTCTGCAAGGTTTTTGGGGGGGGAGCTTCCTTCCCACCCCTCCCCCTCACACACCCCTTCAGCCAGCCCTGCCCTGTGCTAATTGGCAGCTCCCATTTCCCGGAACAGCCAGAGGGGGGCTCTGAGTGTGCAGTTCCCCTGCTGGGATTCCTGGGCCGGCTTGCTCAGGAATGTGATTCCACCACCACAAAGCTGTTTCTTAACTTTGCAGAGTTTTCCCAGAAAATGGGCTGCGTGCTGGGCTGATTGCCAGATGCTGGGCCAGGCCTCTCCCGGAGAAAGATTCCCCAGGAGGCAAAAGGGATTTACCCAAAGTGGAGGGAACGTTCTCCCCAGAGGCACTGGGACCACGTGGCACATGGGCTCCTCACAGGGGAGGATCTGTCAGAGCTTTCTCCCCCCCACTTGATTTTCAGGGAGCAAAACGTTCAGTGAGACAGAAATGGGTGGCCTGGGGTGTGCCTGGTTCTCTCTGAAGGTCAGGCTGACCTTTCTCCAGCTGAGCCCTGCCTAGCCGGGACTTTGGCCAAGCCACAGCCGTCACAGGAGAGAGTCTTGTTAATACTTGCCTGTAAAACCTCCAACTGTCTTGCCCCCCCTTCCTTTGGGGCCAACTCCCCCCAGCGGTGGTCTGGGGGGGAGGGGCTACTTGCAAGCAGAGGATGCCCCCTGTCCTTGCATCAGGGGGCAAGAGAGAGGCACCCCCTGTCCTTGCATCAGGGAATGGCCAAGGAGGTTTGAAGAGGGAGACCAGGAGGGCAGCTCTTCCTTTGGAGGCCTCTTGCAAAGTGGAATCTAGATGCAACACACACACACACACACACACACAACTGTCTCAAAGTGGACTCCATACCCTGGTAAGGCCACACTCGTAATACGGCATCCAGTTTTGGTTGCCACAATATAAAAAAGATGCTGAGACTCTAGAAAGAGTGCAGAGAAGAGCAACAAAGATGATCAGGGGACTGGAGGCTAAAGCATATAAGGAACGGCTGCTGGAATTGGGTCTGTCCAGTTTAATGAAGAGAAGGACGAGGGGGGACAGGATAGCAGCCTTCCAGTATCTCAGGGGCTGCCCCAAAGAAGAGGGAGTCAAGCTATTCTCCAAAGTACCCGAAGGTAGGACAAAATGGAAACTAACCAAGGAGAGAAGCAACCTGGAACTAAGGAGAAACTTCCTGACAGAACAATTAACCAGTGGAACAACCTGCCTCCAGAAGCGGTGAATGCTCCAACACTGGAGGTTTTTAAGAAGAGACTGGACAGCCATTTGTCTGGAATGGTGTAGGGTTTCCTGCTTGAGGAAAGGGTTGGACTAGATGGCCTCCGAGGTCCCTTCCAGCTCTTTGATTCTGTTATTCCAACACCCAGCAGCATCCTGGAGAGCAAGGCTCTGTTGCCCCTCCCCTGCCTGCCTGCGGGGACTTCCCAGCTGCCCCCCCAGCCCCCCAGCCCAGCCTGATGCCCTCTGGGCAGACGGCAGGCCTGTTCCCCCAGCAGGGAGCCTCCTGGGCCATCCGCAAAGGCCTCTACTGTCTGAGGCTTCTCCAGATGTGGGGAACAGCCCGGCCTTCCCTGAGACAAGGGGGGGAGGAGACGCTAGAGGATCCGAGTGCGAAAGCCCAGAAGGGGCTGAGGAAGCCACAGTGGTCTGGCAGAGGCCGCTTTTTGGCAGGCTATCCAAAATGGTACCTCCACAACCAGGTCCAGTCTATCCTGATCTCCACTTGCTGGAAGGGGGATCCTGATTCTGGCCCAGAATCCACTCACATGATTCTCCACCACTTGGCCGATGGTTTCACATTTCTCAGTGGTTGGGGGAGGGGTGGAATCTTTTTTAAAAAGTATTTTCTCCTAAATGACCAACTTGGAGCAGTGGGATGCAACAAATCCTTTCTCTTTAACCGTGTTCTCAGCCGGACAAATGGACACCTGGAGCAGCTCCTCTCTTGCAGAACAGCCACAGACTGTCCCCCCCCTCCCAAATTCTAGGGCCCTGCTGCCAACTCTCCCCCCCAACCTCCCAACCTCAACCCCCCAACCTCCAGGGTTGCAGTGTTGGGACCTGGCTGTGCCCCTTTGGTCTCCTGGTCCTTTCCTGTCATCCTCCGGGCCGGCCCCTTGCTCCTCCCTGTCCTCCCCTCACCCGGATGCCACTTGGCCAAGAGTGGCACTGGCCCCATGGCCTCAAATGAAGGGTTGGGCGCGGCTCCCCCCTCTGGGCATGAGCCTCGGTGGCCTCTGCCCAGGTCTCTGGCTTGTTTTGCAGAAGGAAGCTGCTAATTGGTGGCTGGCTCAGCCCTTCGGCTGCTGCCCCAAAGCAGCAGGTGCCACCTCTCCCTTTGCCAAGCGGGTGACTGGCATCCTGTGGGCCTGCTCAGCAGTGTAAGTGTTGTTGTGGCTGTTACCCTGAATTGTTCCTGTGGACTGAAGGTGTCTGTTGCCTTTCCTGGAACTGTACAGGGGGCCTCCCCCCCACCCTGCATTCCCCCCCCCAGTTGGCATTGCAGTGACTGAGCTGCCCGGCCAGCGTGGCTCGTGGGGATTCGCCAGGGATTGGGGGAGTTGCCATTGCCCGCTCTGGAGGGCTGGCAGGGTCCCTCTGAGCAGGAGAGTCTCACAGCCTTCCCTGTCGCCCAGACTGAGGCTTCCTGGCTGTTCTCTGCTGGAGGAAAAAAGGGCCCCCTCCGGAAAAGACCCCCCCCCTTTTGCAAGGAGTGGTTGCCTAGGAACGACCGATTCCTAAACCAGCCTCTTTGGGTCTCCCAGCCTGCCAGTTCTGGCCAGGTTTTCCAGAAGCAGGTTGCCATTGCCTCCTTCCCGGGGCTGAGCGGGAGGGACTGGCCCGAAGTCGCCCTGCTGGCTTCCTGCCTCGGGCAGGGCCAGAATTCACGTCTCTGGTTTCTAGCCCGGAGCCTTCACCGCTTCACCACATCGCTTCTCGGCCGCCGCCTTCAGCGCCGCCTCAAAGCTTCATCCACACGGGACCTCCTTCGTAGCGCGCGGAACAGTTGCCCGCTCGTCGGAATTCCTTCGGAAACCAGAACAAGCGGAGGGAGGCGCAAGAGCGGGCAGAAGCAGCCCGCCAGCTTTGCTTCGCTCGAACGGGGCCAATTCGAGGGCTGCGAAGATGGAATGGGCCGCCCCCTCCTCCTCCTCCTCCCCTCCCCCGGCGCAGCTTCTAGGAAAGGGCCCGGCGCTGCCCGCCCAAGGGCCGCCGTCCAGCCGAGGGAAGGCGAGGGGCGCAGGCCGCAATCGCGTTGCGTACCCCGGCCTGGGCCGCGTAGGCTCGGCCGGGGGAGCCCCTTTGCGCCCTCCCCTGCAGGGGCGAAGCTCGGGACTCGAGCCCAGCTCGCACAACCGGAATAGCAAAACGTCCGGCCCAAAGGGGCGCCTGTCGCGCTTGGTGGAGGGCAACTGTCCCACGTCCCGGGGCTGCCCCTTGCGGAGGCGGAGGCGCCCTCCCCCTGGGCCGCCGGGGCGCTCGGCCAGGACAGACCCTGCTCTT